ACACTAGTCACGTGACCTTGCTGACGCAACAGTATATATAATCTACTCTATAATTCTATATATATGAACAGTAATTATCTTTAGGGGCTATTTATAAAAAAAAAATCATGCTTAATACTTGATTTTAGAGGCAATTAAGAAAACTTGGTTGTGTTATGCAAGAATATTGTTTATAAGAAAAATGAAAGAAAATATTTGTGTTGTGGCACTGATGTTGTTCCCTTATATTTGTTCACACAAATCATAGCTATAAAAAACTGGTTATGCATAGCTTTCTTGAAAATAATCACAAATATGGAGAATATATCTATCAATAATAATTATTATTCAACTTAGAATTATTCATAAAGCTTTTCTTTAGCTTTTGTTCAAATAAAAAAAGTGTTTAAAGTTTCAAATTCAAAATTATGATGATACCTTTTCCACATCTCATTTAGTTACAAGTTTTACTTGAAAATTAGCTGCCATATTACCTCTATCTCTATTTATCTGGGATATGCATATTAATATAACACTAGTTGTTACTTTTTAGGCTGTGGTTATTATTGGCCATACAGTCACTGTATCTAGGACATGGGCATTATCTGATACACTAATTATTGCTGTGGTTCGAATCAGGTTTATACAACATATCAAACTAGATATATCTGCATGGCATACTAGTAGTTGCTGTATCTACAACACTGGCATTATATAATACAATAGCTTTTTGCTGTATTTAGAACATGGTTTATACAGTATGTCATGCTAGATATATCTGCATTCCATACTAGTAGTTGCTGTATCTTGGACATAGTAACCACATCTCATAAGATTTTTTTTTGTTCCAAGGACAAGTTTGCTAAATCACTATTTTAGGTGTTTTTTTTTTTCTGTTTTAAATATATATTTGATTCATATCCTTGTTGCTGCTGTAATTAGGACAAGGTCACTACATCTCTTACTAGCTGTTTCTGTTCCAAAGACATTTTGTTATGTACCATACTTGTTGCTGCACAATCTAGAACCAGGTGCTATAATACAGTCTTTTTTTTATTATTATATGTTTACTACATGCCATATTAGTTGTCCTTGTATTTAGGATGTGGTTAGGGTATATAATACTAGTTGTTAATAACATCTGTAATATAATTACTGCATTCTAACTTTAACTGTGACTAGAAGATTCCTAACACATGCTTATTGTTTTATCTAGGATCTCTTGAAAAGACAGAACTATGTATATAAAGGAAGAATTGATTTAGACTCATGTTGTATCTTTAATATAGAGGATGGAAAAGGTAGGATAACTTTTTTTTTCATATAGAATTGTACATTCATTAAATATAGTGTTTCAAAGACATTAAGCTATAATGCTACTAAATATATGTCAGAATAGTGATATGATGAACCAAACACAGTATAGAATTTTAGTATTTTTAAGTACAGCACATGCAGAGTAGAACTTAAATAGGTCAAACGCTACTCTATTTTTTTATACTTATCAAAAGCTACTAAGGTTATCTGCTGCCATCCTTAATTTTGAACTAATAATCAGAGGGAAAGCAACCAGTCAGTAGTACCCTACCAATCTAAAGTGGAGCGAATATTTTGTGATATTGTATGGATTCAGACCCAGCTACAAAATCCAGAGCTCTTCCACAGGGCCAACCTTGCACCTCCCAAACACTAGCTATTAAATTGGAACAATCTTACATTTTGAAGGAAAAAAAACAGATAGCCATATTTTGTTGATTGAAGGCTGGTTTCAGATTAGTAACTACAATTTGTCATTCAACAGAGTGTAACTCGAAACATTTTTATGTGTCTGGTTAATCAAAACCTTTACTAAATTAATTTTAAGAACCTTGGGAACAAAACTGTCAAAATGAGCATGGAATCCAGAAAATGGAGGTTATGATACACATTGACTTGAAAATGGCACTGCTTATTAAGGTATGTGAAAAAGGCAATCTTAAGTTCTGTTCTCTAAATTTAATGTTTAGGTGTTTCGTGTTTTAGAATGCAGGAAATTCATTACCATGCTTATGTAACTGAAAAATAACAAATACGTCACCTACATATCATATATGTCAAAACTTGAACTGGATCTTACTGTTTTAGAACTTCACAAAACTAAACATTTCTTATCTACTTCCTGTTTATTATGCTTGCCCTATCATACTAGTATTTGATTGAGATTAATTTTAAAATGATTTTATTCAAACTTCTTTGATAACAATGATAAAAGTATGCAAAAAGGCAAAGTTAATTAACCCTGAGGCCAGCTTGAGAACTACAATTTCAAGGTATCGTTTCTCATTAGCTCCCCATGGTTGACAATATATCATTTAGTTGACTTTTATATATATTTTTTTTAACGTAGAGGTCAGCTTGATATTGCTTTTGCACACACAAAAACTATTTTACTATACCAATTTGAGAAACGGTTAAAGGCTTTCTTGCTTTGCAGGTGGATTTAGTACTTAGTATTGCTTAATCTTCGCAGTTGCATAAATAGAAATATGAAATATGATTAACTATTATCCAAAGCTTTTTGAGCTTTTTTTTTAATTTTTTTCTTTCTCTCCCTTTTTGTTTCTTTAATCAGTGTATGTCATAGTTTTTAATCTGTTTAATCTGTGAAATGCATGATACAATTGGCACCATTTCCTAAAGTGTTGTCAGTGGTACTAAAAATGTTCTTACTCGGCTATAAATTCCATGTAACTGTTTTTTAGAAATTTCCCATACATACGTGTGTTTGTGTGTGTGTATGTATATATAGACACAGGCACACACAAAACAGACATGTACCACCTAGGCACACACCAATATGTATACAGAGACAGTCCTGAACTACAAATATTTACTATCATAGTTCTCTCCCACAGTTGGTTTGGTATTTTTTATCAGGTACCTGATGATGACAAAACCTTGTTGAAACATTGTACATTTGCTGTTATGTTAAACTTATATTAAAGTTTTTCTTCATTACCCATTCAAGCCGTCTCCAACCATTATTAACATTGTGTTCAATAATTTATTTTAATGATTACCTTTATTAAAGAAAAGTAACAGTATTTAGTAGTACTTTTCAAGTGTGTGTGTGGGGAGGGGGTTTGTAGTTTTTATTTTGATGTAATATTAATTAAATAGGTTTTAAGCTGTTGTTATTTGTTGTACATTCATAGGAAACAAATTTTTGAATGTAAATAAAATGTATATGCTTGGACTTGAAAAAGAACATTAGATTTATAAAGCTAAAATGTATATGCTTGGACTTGAAAAAGAACATTAGATTTATAAAGCTAAAATGTTTATACATAATGTTAAAATTATAGATAAATAACTAAAGTGATTGCATGAGTTTAAATTAATCAATTCAAACCTGAGATTGAGTAAGAAATTATTTTAGAGCTTTGATATAATTTGATATAATTGGTAGTTGTCATGGATTACAGTCCACCTCAATCATTGATTCTTATTAATAATAAAGATTAAAGGAGAACTAAGAATATCAAATATTATCATCTATGTCTTTCAAGGAAGAAATTTATGTATGATATTGGATTGTGTACATTTTGTCTAGAAATTAGTGTCTTCTTTGATTTTACTTAATTTAGATTGTTCTATATGTTAACCCTTGGTTTAGTAATATATTTTTTTATATAGATGCACAGTTTGGAGTTACTGTGAAAAATGCTTGGAAAATTTACTGTGCCTCACGAGACAAGTGGTTTTTGTTTTATTCAAAGTCACCTGAAGAGAAAACTAGGTGGTTGGAAACATTTGGAGAGGAGAGACAGCGAGTGATGGAAGATGAAAAACAAGGTATTGTTGCTGTGGTTTCTGTTTACATGTTACTATTAATACAATGAAACTTAAATTAACCAGTAGGTTATTAAGTAAAATTAAAAAACACATACATGTAACTCGTGCAGTATATTATAATGAAAACTAAATCATATAAGTGTTCACATATTCTGTAAGAAACATGAGTCATCTCATTTAGTTTAGGTGTCATCTGACCTCAATATTTATGTTAAATGTCTCTACATCCTTTTTATATCTAGATTTAACCATTCAGTAGTAAAATTATATATACATATGAATTGTAAGTGATCCACTTACTGTATTATTGATGGAATACTTCTCTCTCCATTGATTATTTCTCAGAGGAGAGAACATAAAAAACATTTACAATATCCATAAAAACAGAATAACATAGAGATAGGACAGTTAATGATTTTTGTAAAGCATAAGTTCTATGTCATCATGGGTATTTTCAAATAGCAGCCTATCATTTTGTTGAAAGAAAACGTTTTGTAAAATATTTAAATCATACATACAGTAGATTATTATCATCACAATGGTCATAACTACATTGTTACCATGACTGCCATTCTTGAAGTACTTGGGCTCATCAAGAAAGTATGCATTAACTTATGTACTAAAAACCACTTTTATGAATGAATGGAAAAGTATATTGATATATTTGTCAAAAAGATTGTTATTCTTTATCAAGGTTAAAAATAACATATTTTAGTACAAAAACATATTTTATAAATCCAGTCAATATATAAAATACCTTTTTATAAGATAGTCTGTTTATAATAAGACTCCAAATTTTGATTTCCTCTTGTGCAACATAGATGCTAAACATGTTACTATTACAGGTAGTATTTCTCCAACACCTTATCACTTCATTAACATACACAAGTTATTTTTATAAAATGGAATTAACCCTCTATATATGTATTTGTGTGTGAATATGTATATTTACATGTTTGTTATAAATCTTGTTTTTCAGGTTTTACTGTTACAGAACGTGCTAAAAAAGCTGCTCGGCTAGCTGTTGTGAATAAGCAGAAAGCAAAACGTCCCAGAGGTGAGTAAAGGCAAGAATATATGATTACCAAGAACTGGAACAGTTGTAGAGATTGCTTATTTAGATATTTTCTAGAGATGGCTCTTTCAGAATAGTAAGGTGTATTGTTTACCTAATTAGTAGCTTTGATATTATTACAATATACAACATCAGAAATACTCAACCACATCTTAGCACCATCAGACATCAAAAGGAGGTCTTGAGATTTTACAAATATTATCACGACAAATATGTTATTATGTTTTAGTTAATTGTCCTGAGAAATATAAAACATTATTTCAGTTAAACAATTGAAAGGACCTCGCCCTCATCCTGATGTAGCCGTGACAGAACTCCTGCTTGATGCTCCTATGTCCATCAAGTCTCGAACTGGTAGTCTACCATCTAATTTCCATCCCAGTATGATGGTAATGATGGGTGGAAGACAAGAGTTGCCAAAGAAGAAAGGCTCTGGATGGTTCCATTTTGGTAGTGGCAAGAAAACCAAGAAGTGAGAAAATAATAACTTATTTGTTATGCTTCTGATAGCACAGACACTTTGAAAGACATAATGCCAAGTGACATAACTAAATAGTGCCAAGCTCCTCTTACGACTACTTTGTAAAATAGAAATCAAATGTGAGGTCTGCTAGCAGTAGTTTTCACCATCTGTTTTTAAATTGTGCACTCTTATATCTACAGAATGAATGTTCCCAGCTAAATGTGGATGTAGGACAGTAAGAAACTTGTATGTTAAATTATTATTTATATACTAGTATATACTGTCTATTGAAACATCTCATGCTGTGATAATCTTATTGTTTTTGATAAGTACTGTCACTGTTGAAAGGCTTTAGATGTATGCTTGTGTATTTGTTTTATATATATATGTACCATGTTGAGAAATAATATGCTCTGAGAAACTGCTTGTTACTATAGCAATAGACATAATAATAATGAGTGATTTTTGCGTGTTTTGCTAGTTCTTAAGAAGTGTTTGTATTGATCATTAATTTTGAATGCATCTCTTTCCTGGAATTTCTTTAGTGTTGAAGAATACTGTATATCTGTAAGCAGAAATATAACAGTAAAAGGCTAATCTAGTACTGGAAAAGTTAAATATGCCACGTATTTTTGTTTTAACTTAAAAGACCATTGCTTGTATCATTTTTGAAGTTTTAATTATGTATTCTATGGATAACTGTAAATTTAACGTTAGAAAAAGTTAAACTTCTCTACATTTGATGATAATGTTTTTGTTCCATATCCAGTTTTGTAACTCTGAAGTTGTTCATTCACAGAAAAAGACCAAACAGCCTGTATTATATTTCATTATTTAAGGTTTCTGTGGAATCATTGTGTAGTTGTTTGACACAATGCAATACATAATTATGAATAATATACATTTAGATATATCGCAGCATTCTTTACAGTATATGGATTTGACACTAATAATAAAGGTCAGTTGTGTGAACAGAGGAATGTTTAATGCTTAATGTAGTTTATGAAACGACTTGTAAATGAAACAAGGGAAGGACCACACACACAATGTAAAGTGCTTTAGATGATTTGCTAGTTACCCCAGTATATTATATAGGTCTTAGGACAAAACTGAATAATTTTGTGTGATCATATTGGAATTTCCAGGTAGCTAAGAATTGGCATGCACTTAAGGTAGTAATTTATTATTTATATAGTTACAGTAGTATCATTGTGGTACATGTTTGAACACCTAGCTACAATATAATTCTTAATAAAGTCCCCACATGTGGTCCTAATTCATTCTGCACTGGCAAGTAAAACTAAAAAAGGAGACTGTTAACACAAAAAGAAGGAAATGCCCGTGTGACAGTACATTGCTGTCAAAATCAAGACTTGTATTCTCTTGGTGACATAATTCAATCTTGCATGTGTGTGTGCCTGTAGAGAAATGAGGTGAATCTGATTTTACATTATTAGGGTCTTAAAAGAATAGTGTTTAACAGTTATTAATATTTAGGCCAGAGTTGCTATTTAAACCTGTTTTCTTTATTTTTGTTTAAAGAGTTTCATTTTTTTTTCTTACTTTCCAGTTGAATCACAATTTCTGGTATAATGTAATAATGAAAGGAAATTCTTCATGTGTTTTTGATTTGTAGGTTTTCTGTTGTGTACTGTTAACAATTCAGGTTTATGCTCTGATTTTATCCTTACACTGAAAAGAAACAACTTGGATATAAGACTCAGAATAATTTTCTTTTGTGGAAATGTGTCCTCTGTCTTTGGATTACAAATCTCCTTTACAAAACCAAGCTTTGAACATACTCAGACATACAAAAAAGCTCAAAAAAATTTATATAAAATAATCTGTGAAAGTAAAAAGTAAATTCAACTTCTAATCGTTTGTTCTCTCTTTGTGTCAAAAAATGATATACGTTAATATTTATTAACCTTGTTTAAATATTACTTGTACTTTATACCACAATAAGAAAAGTAGATTGTTTCTTTGTAAAATAACAGAATCATTGTTTTTTTAAGACTTGCTTTGTACTTGTGTCATAGTTGTTTGAAAACACAGCATTATCTGAGAGAAATATCAGTCAACATACTTGTCTGCAAGTAAGTGACTTTCAGAAGCCTGTTTGTAAAAGTTAACATTCAACAGTTGACAGTTTTTACACATACTTCTTACCTAATATAATTAACTATAAAACTTTTATATGGCGGTCTGTACATTTTAAAAGTTTTTAAGAACTCTGAAACTATTTTTAGATTTTAGACTCTTGGTCATTAAATAAGGCGAAAGCTACAATGCAAAGTAAAATTTCCATTTGAAAATATGTGAAAAAGAGAAATAATACAAGTATGTCAACTATTAAAAATACAAAACATGTGCAATATATTAGTATTGTAGATAAAGTAATGTTTACTAGTTTGTAGTATTTAAAATATAGGTAATTATAACTAAAACAAAAACCATTGTAAGTCAAAGTAAACTTGACTGTGTTAGTTTTGTACTATTAACAAAATATAACTTACCTGGACCCAATGCCTCCATGAGAAAAGAGAAAATGCAGTGTTTCTAATATATTTTTCTAAAGTCTCCACCTTGTCTCTTTTCTACCTCCAATTTATTTATTTAATTATATATAAAAGTTTAGAAAGTAGAATGTTTTGTTACAAAATTTCTAATAGATTATAGATTTTTATAATCTGAAATGTGAAAAAAAGTTTTTCTTAACCATGTTGAATTAGCAATTAGTGTTAATTATCACACAAGTTAATTGTAAAAAGTTTAAATGTAGATAATTAAGAAGCAATACTACTTACAACTTAAGTTTAACTATCAGTGTTAGAGTGCTCATTTTTTTATTGTTGCTGATGTATCAGAATTACTTGCTTAGATAATTAAGTGCAATGTTTATTAGATGATAAATAATTGGACAACCCTTGGCTGTTGCAGAGAACAGTAAATTTCTCTCATGTTAATTTGTCAAACTAAATATACAGGGTTAAACTTTCTTTAATACATTAATTTGTTGCATTGTTATTTACATATTAGAATTATTATAATGTTTGATATGCCATGTTGTTAAAATATGTAGCATTCCTAAATTATATACTTGTTCTAAAGCGATAGGATTGTAATATTATTTGCATAATTGGTGGAAGTGTTATATATTTGGATATTGTTATTCATTCTTTTCTAAGAAAGTATTTTATCTTTAGTTGTTGTTGCTTATCAGCAAAATGTCAAATTTTGGCCAGAAAACAGAACAAAAGCCTGTTTTGTTCTTGACGTTGCTATGTTTCACTGAGTTAGCTTAGACTCAGTTTTGGAGAATTCATTCCTTCATCAGTAAAAGTAGACAAGGGCAAGACAGAAAACAAGATTGGGCCTCTTGTGTAATCCAAGCATCATATATATATATATATATATATATATATATATATATATATATATATATA